CTTCTCCTGCGATGTGGATGTTACATTGTTTTATTCACTGTTCCACGTGTGACGTGAGTTATTTTAGGCCTGACATTGTTTGGTGCCATTTAAAAAAATGTAAAATGTCAGCACTGTCTCTTTAAGCACATCAAAATAAAGTGAATCATTTTAAAAAAATCACATATGAGAACAGTCAGATCACATCGACTCTTAGTCCTTGTATTCCTCAGACAGCGGGCTCTTTGCTGAATCAAACACAACTCTGCTAACAATAACATTCCTCCGCCTCGATAATGCGCTTATCTGCTCCGTACAAGCAGCAAATGCTAAGCTGATTAATGACACGCGAGCATAACAAATACACACTTGTTTGGCCGGTGCTGACGGATGGTCTTGTTTCAGTCTCACGGTTAGGCTCCATACTCCTGTAATGCTAGTCGGCCTTAGCTTCGACTCCTCCAGACAAACATGACTCCTGAGTTAAGCTTCACTTCAAGCAGGTTCTCTTCAACCTGTCAGCTCCTGTTTATGTGGGCGCACGTCTGTTTTAATGTATGCCCGAAATGACACACATCAGAGACGGACAGAGAGAAAAGGAGGGTGAGAGGTGGAAGTAGAGAAGACAAGTGCTGTTGATAAGAAGGGAGATGCTGATAGCGCTGGTGCCAAGAGCAGCACCAAAGATAAACCGACTGGAGGTCGACCCGGCTCGATATCTGTCTTTTGTTGAAGACAGGCCTTCATTGCTTCACTCCAGCTCTCTGTGTGTCTCACTTTTTCTTGACAGTCTCTCTGTCACGAGCTGTAATCGTCGGTGGCAGCACTGGACGCAGAAGCTCAACCATCAGTCAAATCTGACACACAGCCAGGAATGTCACTCCATATGTTTAGCACCATTTACTTTTAAATATAAATTATTCCTAGCATCCGATTACTAATCTAATCTAATCCAACCGGAATTCTCACTTCCCTTCTGCCCGGCCTTTAGGCACATGTATGAAAACTGTCCTAAATCCTATGCACTTCTGTGACATCATCAAGAACACTACATATGACATTGTGTTTTGATGAGAACAGTGCACACGGAGAAATGTGCAGGTGGACTTTCATTTGTATCAGTCACAGTAGAATAACTTTTGGCTGCTCTCCTTTTCAGATGTGATTACAGCCAATAATCCACATCTGTCATTTGGCTCAGGTTTTTACACAGGATGGCCTTCCTGACACAACACTCCCTGATTAATCTAGGATTATGAGCTGCATTTGGAAGGACAGACTGTGGCCTCCTCCCATTGTTACAGTATGATGAGCAACTAGGACGCTAGTTTTTGTCCAAAGACACATTGGTGCATAGCTGGAGTTTAACTCCTGACCTTGCTGTTGGAGGATGACACAATCTATGCTTATAACTGGGCCATAGCAGGAGTTCTTAACCTTTTTGACCTTGGGGCCCAAATTTTATAGTACAAGAAAATGCTTGTAGTTTGATTTGTTTTCAATAATAACCAAATATATTTACAGTTTAAAAAGCTAAACTGTCACTTAAGTGCAAAACTGAAAATATTTTGCGGCCCCTTAGGTGATGCTGGCTGCCCACGTTTGGGCCATGAGCCTATAGTTAAGAATCATTGGAATGTAGGATATCACTTGTGTGTATGTGTGTGTGTTTCGCACCGGAGTGACACTCCTGTTTATGAATGTTTGTGGAAATACAAGGCTGCACTGAAGCAAACACAGATGATGTAAACGCTGGGAAAAAAAATCAAGTTCACTGTAAACACACCTGTGCTGCACTCCAGTGAACTGTGTGACGACAGAAAATGGAGTAAAACCGTGTGTGTGCAGACGGTCACACCCGCTCCACCTAATCACAGTGTGAACGCTCCATATGTGCTGACTGTTGGAACCCAAACCAGGCCTGTGACCTGGTGGCACAATCGTCAGCATTGGTGTTCCACGTTAGTCCAAATGGATTTATTTGAACAACATGGAGGGACAAAAGGAGCGTGCAGATTAGGAATAGAATTGCAGTAATTCCAAAACTCCCTGCAGAATTGTAGAGAGAGAGAGAAAGAAAGAAAGAAGAAAAAAGGCCTCTGAAAGCTATCACGATGATTTGGGGTTATGAAAACATGTCTGACACATGTGCTCTCATGGCGGCCGTCAAACGGAATCAGTGACTTGGAGGAATTAACAAAGTTGGGATTGTGGCATGAAATCTGGGAGTGCTGAGTAGTCTAAAAGTATACCAGTCCCAGCTGGTCCTCCTTAGAAATTAGGAAAGACGCCAAAACCCCACTGTATTTCGTGGTGTATTTTTTTTCCTCGCGTACCTCACTCTCCCGCTTCTCTCCCCTCCTGTGTTCAACAAAAAGACACAATAATAAGACAAAATATGTCCGGTGAGACTGGGAGGGCTCTGTCTTCAAGTGTTTAAGTGAAAAAATACAACATTCCTAAACCTTTGCTCCCGTTACATCTGTAATCCCCATTCATGCAATAATGTCTATTATTGGTGTCTTAACTCTTTCATCCTGAACCAAAGTCGCTGGCACAGTGGCCTTACATTTCCATTGACCTTTGGGGGAGGAAAGTAAGATCACACCCCCGCAGTCTGGTTAGATTCTTTAGTGGCACAGGAATTTCCAAATGTGGTGAAGAAGTA